AACCAAATAATCATTTACTTAAAACTCTTAAAGAATGTTATAAAGAAATGTATAAATCAGAAATTAAAACTGTTGCTATTCATGCTGGTCTTGAAAATTCTATTATTATGGAAAAATATAAAAATTTGAACCTTCATTCTATTTCTCTTGGTCCATCAGTTCATGATGTTCATACTCCAAAAGAACATGTTCATGTTGAAACTGCTACTCAACTTTATGCACTTCTTATTTCTGTTATGGAGAAACTTTAAACAAAAAAAATCAATATAATTGATTTTATTCATTACTATATTTTTTCTTCTTCTTTGTTTTTTTTTAATCTTTTCTACTTTTTTTAATAGAATTTTGTGCACTATAATGATATGGTATTAAATGACTTTCTTTAACTGTTTTTTCAAAATCTTCATCTTTTGTTCCTGATAACTCTTTCCATTTCCCAACAATCTCTCTATCTAAATTTGGTAAATCATGTAATAATCGTTTCTTAGGATCACTAAAAAAATATATTTCTTTTGATCTTCCTCCTTCTTCTACAACAACTATATCATATTTTTCTGGATGTTCAACCATTGATGCTAAATCTTTTTCTACATCTGGATATGCATCATCTAATGTTGATCTTGGTACTGATTTGAATTTAGAATCATGTATAATATTAATTAACTCTTCTATATTTGTTGCATTGGTTTTTGGTTTATACTTAAATGTTTTTCTGGTTGGGTTATATTCCACTGAACTTGACATTGTTGAAAGTCTTTGGAATAATTCAGTCCCTTCAGAAACATCATATCCTAATTCATTTAATATTTGTTTTATATCATATTCTTTTCTATTCTTCTTTAAATGTTCAACAATTGCACTTTGTTGTGTTCTAACATCCATTCCATAGTTCATTTTGTTTATCTTTTTTTAGTTCTTATTATTGTTAAATTTTCATGATTATTGCATTAGAGTTTATTCTAAAAGTGAAAGAAGATGGATTAAAAATAATCAATAAATACTCGAAATTTTCTTAAAACACAAAAACTGTGAAAAAAACTCAAAAGACTTGAATATTTTTAAAACATTTTCTTTTTTCTTATAGAATCATCTTCTTTAACTCTTATTTTGTTAATTACTTTTTTTATACACTTTTGATAACAGAGATAAGATGGACTAGTTTCTAGTTCAAAAAACATTACAGGTAAATTTTATTATCCTCAATTAACTAATTATTCCATATTTATTTATGAATTATTTTATTATATTAGTACTATCATAAATATAAACCTATTTATTTTCACTCAAAGTGATTGAGCATTTATATTTCATTTTTATTATCATTTATAAAAAAGTAATAAAAATATTCAACGTCATAGTAGTATCATTAGAAAAGTCATTGAATAGATATTCATGTATACTGGGGTTAATGTTATAAACTGTTCTTTTTTTTAAAAAAGTAATATATTTGATAACATAATGAACATAACGGACTAATAAAAATGTAGTAATATAAATGATTCAATGAAAAACATAATAGAACCAAATAAATTACTAATAAGAAGGTTAAGAAACAAAATAAGGATTAAAAAAAAATGAAGTTCATTTGTTTATTATTTGAATTGGTCCAAATGAATAAACACAAAATAAACTAAGAAGAAATGAAGTTCATTAAAAGAAGAATAATTAATAACATAAAATAAAAATAACAAAAAATTTAAATAAGCGTTATTTAAAACACATTTTATATTAATTATAAAAATAGAAATAACACATCAAAAAATAAAATTTCTGAATTATATTTCTTGCTTTCCTTCTTCATAATTGTTTTAAACCATTTTAATCTTTCTTGTGGCGGTTTTCATATATTTATATTATTTGTTTTCATATGCTGTTAAAGTCCATTTCTGTTGTATAACATCTTATTGAGTAAATTTTCTTTACATAAATTAGTTTCTAGATTTGAAAAATAAATTAATTAACATTATAATGTATATATTTCATAAACATTTATTAGAAATATTTTTAATGCCTTTAGATAAATCAATTAATATTGATAGAATAACCTCCTCTCAGTTTCAAAATGAAGTATCTTAGGAAGGTTAATCTATCACCTAATAAAAGTCCAAAGACTGGAAAAATAAGAACCAATAACTATTCTAATTTAATCAAAAACAAAACAATATTATTGTAAAATATTAGAACACAAGTTTCGAATAATAGAATATATTATTATAAACAATCAACTACGAGTTCTATTCATTACAAAAGAAAAGTTGTTCTAAAATTATCACCATATATTCCAATCTACTTTCAAAAAGAGTAACACTAAAATAATTAAATTAAAAATGAAACAACCAAACAAGAGAGTGATTAACCCATCTGTCAATTTCATGCAATTTACTCTTTCATTCAATAAAACAAATAAAAAAAAGTAACGAATTTTAATTTTCAAAATTCTAAACCCAAAAAAAAAAAGAAAAAAGAATGTATTATTTGATTTTAAGATTTTGAAAAAAAACTAACTTGAAATCAGAAATGAAATTCAGTGTTATTGTTGTCTTATTTGTTATAACCTGTTATTCATATCAATATATTTGTGTTCAAACAATAGAAAAAAACGATGACCCTGATCTTAAAGCTATAGAAATAACATCTGTTGATAGGTGTATTACTCAACATGGTAAAATAGTAGTAAGAAATTTAAAAGGAGCAATCACTGAAATTAAAGTAGGAGAAGGTTTGTTTTATTTTAATGCTAAAATAAAAGAAATAGAAATAACGTAGTATTTAGTTGTTTACCCAGTCTCATCTACTTCTAATTATCAAGAGATAGGAGTGTTAGATGGATATTTTCCAGTTCGAGTAATTAAGAGAACAATTGAAAATATATGTTATTACAGACAATTTGAAGTAACAGTACATTCAAAAAATGGTTTGTTTTATATACACTTTTTGTATTAGATAATAAAAAAAGAATAAGAGAAAGAAGATTTATTTGATAGAATGTGACCCATATTATGTTTATCTTGTAAAAACAAAAGAAATGGTATTTGAAGATGATAGTAGTAATAGCACTGAATCATAAACATAAATTAAGTAGTTTTTATTAAATATTTTAATTACTTTTATTCTAACGCATCATGAAACCACCAAGAAAACAAGACTACACCAATTATTACTAAACAACATGTCTCAAATGCAAAAATATTTAAACACAATTTATAACGATTATGTATTACTGGATCTTCACTCTTACTATATATTCGTTGAATATAAAAAAAGAATGGAGGACATAATGCAGAAATAACTACATAAATAAGCATTCTTTTACGAACTTCATCATTAACAACATAATCGTATCCATCTTCAATATTAGGTTCAAACTGTAATACTCCAGCAAACTGTTCTTTTGTAATACCAACAAGAATAGGAGGTGTTTCAGCCATGTAAAAAGAGTTTACAATTATTAAATAAAAAGTAGAAGAGTACAACTTTTTCAAAAAGATACACAAAATTGAACTTTTTTTTCTTTTTTATTATTTTGAAAGAATTTTATAAATGAATTAAGTAATATAAATCAATTCATTTAAAAATTAAATTTCTTATTTCTTATTAATTATATTAATCTTTTTTAGTAATATTTCAATAAAACCTTTTCTTCTTTTTCAACTCACAATAACAATAAAATTAAGTGAACAAAAAGTGAAATGAATTATAATGAAAATAGTGTTCTAAAATTTTTTATATCCATTGAATGATTCCTTACAATTGATAATAAGCGTTGATGATCAATTGCAATAGAATTATTTAAACAAATTTTTTCAATTGCTTTAACACACTCTGATTTAATAATGTCTTCATTAATTCCATCAAAAAATAAATTGTGTTGTTCAAAGTCACCTTTAGGAATGTTAGTTTCAATACAATAAGATTCAAGAAATTTAGCACATTCTTGAGCAGTTTCTTCACAATTCATTCCTCTTGAAATAATTTCCACTAATCGTTTATTAATAAAAGTATATTTAAATTTACATAATTGTAATAAGGCTTCTGTTGATACTCCATAACTTCCACCTTCTGCAATAGACATTAATATCTCAACAATTTCATTTGGTTCAAAATCATTGAATGCATGAACAACAGATAATACGAAATTATTTTTTTGAAGACCAGTTCCTATTTTAATGAGCTCTCCAATCCATCCTTTAATTCCAGTACAATTTTTTGTTAATTCATAGACAAGACGTTGTGTTTCTTTTCTTCCTGCAGCATGAGCTAATATATTAACTTTAATAGAATTAACAGGTACGATTTGAGCTGCTTTTTCAAAAATACCAATAACAGGAACAGAAATTAGTATCTCTGCAATAGATGGATCATTTAATTGGATTGATGCTTCAACTACTTTTTGAAGCACTTGCACTTCTCCAAATAATAATCCTCGTGCACTAATCATTGATAACATATCTAATGAAAATGGTGGATGGTCTTGAAGAAGAATAAATATATCTAAAGCATTTACTGCTACTTCTGTTTGAAACACTGTGCAACAACTTAAAATTATCTGTTCAAACTGTTCAAGAACACCAAAATTATCTAACTGATTCTTTATTCCTTTAATACTTTCTGGTGTAAACATTTTATCATATGATAAAGATGGAGAAACAATACTTATGACTCTTCTTGCACATGCCTCTAATTCTCCATGAACTGTTGTTGGAGCATAAAAAAGTAAGGATAAAGCACATAAATGAGGAATGTATTGTATTGTAGTAATTGGTATTAATGAAATGATAAAAGAGAGTAGTATGAAATAAACGTTTTCTTTTTTAGAAGGGAATGATGGTGTTATTTCAATTAAGTCACAAGGAAGTTTAGGTTGAATTGGTAATTCCATAATATTATTATATAAATTCATAAATATCGGTAAACATAATGATTCTATTCCACATAAACTACACATTATTTTACCAATTAAACCTATACTTTCTTCAGTACTTTCTGCTTTTGTTAATAAAATTTCTAATATTATATCGATTTTATCTTCACATTGTCGTATAACGTATTGCCACATTTCACAAATTTCATAATCTAATTGCTGTGCTGTTGATGTCATATCAATCATAATATTAATTGTTCCTTCAAGATCATACTGAACAGCAACTTTCATCCATTCACAACATACATGGATCAATACTCTATACTCATTATTACTTAACAAATTATGATATTGAAGTACCCCTTTTAGTATCGATGGACTTTCAGAACAATACGCTTTGGCCAGTTCTCTCATTATTGCACAATTCCACGATCCACCTGCAGCACATCCACAATAAGTAGAAATATTAAATCCTTGTATTCCTTTCATTAATGCTGCAAAGTCATTTGAATTTTTTGATGTTAAAATAATACCATAACTTAATATTTCTTCTATACGAATAGGATATCCACTACTAAGAATTGTATACACTGCATGGTAATACATCATTCTTACATCCCTTGTCAAAAAAGAACGTTGCATTGAAATAGATAACATATTTGGATATCTTTTTAATAAATTTACTAAATATGTTTCTGAAGCAATAGGATCAGAGGAATAGAGTATTTCAAGAAGATTAAACAAATCAATTGGAGAAGATATTCTTGCTTTTAGTGTTATTGCATTGACTATTGAAGTAATATATTTATGTAATGATATTTGATGAATGTATTTTGAGATAAATGTTACTAATGAATCTTCTATTGATGGAGAAGGTAATGTAATTTCTAAAGTACATATCTTTGATACTATTTCAAATAAAATAATATTTGAAGTTGGAAGATCTTTAAATTGAGTCCAATGTTTTAATGTTAATCTACATAATGAAATAAGATTTTGACAACGAATATATTTAATTGGTTCTATTGAAACCAATGTATTTAATAATTCAAGATTAAATTTCTTCTTTTTAGAATCAATCATTGAAGATGCAAAAAGATCTATAACAGATGGTTCTGATAATTTAAGTAGTGAATGTACCATTGAACAAATATGATCTACACCAGCATTGTATTGTGAAATAATTGAATGAATTATTTGTACATTTCCCATTTTCATTGATGCAAAAATGAATCGAATTAACTCTGGTTGCATTTTAGATGAATAACTGTTAGATAACCTATTATATAATTCTTTAACAAACAATAACTCTTTTTGTTCAGTTACAAACTTATCTATATTTTCTATAGAAACTAATGACAAATATTGAGCAATAATATTTGAATTTTCAATAATTCTATATCCTTTTAACTTTAGTGCATCAACTAACCGTGAAGCTATTTCAATAGATTTTTCATCTAATGTAATAATAAGTGCTAATATTCTTCTTTGTAACATATTAACTAATCCTTTACTAGCAACGTCATTAGTTTGTCCAAATACTTCAGCAAGTTGACACACATACTCTCCTTCACTCCAATTACTTTCTTCTTCAATTCCATTACCAAGAAATTCTTCAAATATACCACAAAATAATCTTGGATTTCGTTTTGCATCTCTGAGTAATGCTTTTCTTGCTTCTTGTTTAATTTCAAGTATTGGACTTCTTGATGCACTAACTATTTTATGTGAAGTTGTATCTCTTGCAGTAGAATCATGAATAAATGATTCTGGATACATTTCTAATGCCCATATATTAAATGGATCCATTACCGTTCCAATTAATGATGATGTATTTGATAAAAATTCTGTTACTCCTTGTTGAACTTCTGAAGGTAAAGTAATAGATTGTGGAAGATGTTGAATAACAGTAGCACGAATATCTGTTGTTGTAACAAATTTTCCAGAAAGAATATACATTGTTGTTTGATGTAAATAAAGAACAGGATGTGAAAACACTTTAGAAAACATAGGAATTTCACTATTAGAAGCATATTTTAAACGATGATATTCTTTTTTTGGAAGAATAGTTTTTGCAAGGAACTCATCTACTAATGACGGAATTAAAGAATGGTTCTTTGGTAATACATCTAAACTACCGCTAATATAATCACTTATCATTTCTAAAGCTTTTAATCTTTTTTGTTGATCTTTTGTACTAGCTAAAAGAGTATAATTTGATACTAAAATTGGTTGGATAAAAAGACCAAATAGTCCATCACTTTGAGCACCAAGGTGTGCACATGTTTCATTAATTGGTACTTTTGAATTTTTCCATTTCCGTAATAAGTCAATGATTCTTCCATACCGTTCTTCTAATTGTATTATACCAATTCCTCTTCCTAATCCATTAATACAAACACCATCAAGTAATTCACATAGTGACCGTTTTAATACACTCCTTTGTGCTGAATTTAATGCATTTTCTACATTACTTATAAATCTAACTGATTCACTCACGTTAATACCATCAACTGGAAGAATTATTTGTTTAAAACAAATAATCATTACTGCAGCTTCTCTAGTTGTTTCATCATTTTTAATGCTTTGAATAATATGTAAAAATGAATCTACAACATCTTTCAAAAGGTATTTGCTAAGTTCTTTCATTAATATTGAAGTGTTATTCCTTACTTGTAAACTAAATTTACTAGATGAAAAATTAGAAGCAATAGAAACACTTCTATGATCTGAAATTCGTACTATATTGGTTAATAATTTAATAAACTGTATATTAACTTGTTCATTATCAAAAGAAGTTTTATTGTTAAGGGTTTGCATAAGAAATTCATAATGAGATTTATCATCCATTGAAGTAGATAATAGTTCTATTGTTGATTCTACTAATGGAGAATGTTCATAACATTGTTCTGAAAACCTAACAATTAAATTTTGTATATATTGGTTATGATCTACAACCAATAATTGTTCCCCTTTTAAATCAATTTTCTGTGATACTCGAGGAGTTTTTGAATTTAGACTAATAACACGAGGTGAAAGTGAATTATTCTGTTTATTAATTTCTTTTGTAGGAGAAGACGAATTTGTTCTTTTAGGCAATTCATTAGGTTGTGCTAGTAGTGATGATGTTTGTCTTTTAACAATTTTATTTGGTATAATTTTTTGTGTATCTATTTCTATTTGAGGTGTATTAATATTATTGGTTATATTAGATTGTCTTGAATAACTTGAATCACTTTGTTTAATGTTAGAGTATGAATGAAGAGATTCTCCTGATGAATTACTTACAGATGGATTTAAAATATCAATTTCAAATTCTTCTTCTGAGGGAGTGTTATATTTATCTTCTTCATCTCCAAATTCATATTCTTTTGGTTCAAATTCATCATCCCCTAATAATTCAACTGTAATGTCTTGACAACTCTGTGTTTGAGATGGAGTGATAGTGGTAGTTTTGTTTTGGTAACGTTTAGGGGAATAAGAATTTTCAAATGGATTAATTGATTTTTTTGGAGAGAGGGATTGTTGTTGGGTAGATGGCTCATCAAATGGATTAGTTGATGGTACTTGTTTTGAAGATGGCTCGTCAAATGGATTTGTCGTTGTGTGGGTTGGTGTTGTTGGTTCATCAAATGGGTTTGTTGGTATTTTCTTGAATTGAAGACTTAATTTAGGTAATTTTTGTGGTAGTGAAGGAACGGTTGGTGTTTGTTTTTGTGGGTATCTATTGACTGGAGATTGTGGTACTGGTTTTGGTGATCTGGGTGAAAGTGTTGGTTCTCCAGTCTTTTGTTGTTTTATGGTGTGAGCAGCAAAAGGATTAGTAGATTGACGATGAATATAATTAATGTTAGTGTTTAGTGGTTGTGTATTAGCACGATGAGGAGGGGGTGTTGGTTTAGAGGGAGATTTTGGTTTAGGAGGTGGTGTTGGTTTCATGAGAAGAATAAATGAAATAGGAAAAAATAATAAATGAAAAGTTTTTCTTCACCTAAGATTGGATCTTTTCTTTTTACTTTTCAAGCTATTAATTATAGTTTATTTTAAAGATAAAACAGTAAATAGATGAAGGGAAAAAACAAAGTTAACAGTAGAAAGTAATGTCATCAAATATATCTAATAACTCTTCTACCACATCGTCGGGAAATGAATCTACATTAATTTCAAAATCCCATCCATTCACCTTGTTTAGTAAAATAGTATAAATGGCTTGGGTTTGATAACAATTTGCATTGGGTATTAATTGTTTTAATTTTTGACGTTTTTCTTT